ATGAGCTGCAATCTCAGCTTGAATTTTCTGCCACATCACACAAACAGGAAAAAAAATGTTACAGAATTGTTTGCAGAGAGGTGAAGTTGAACTTTCTTACCACCTACTACCCACCAGAAGTAAATCCACTCTGTAAAAGTTGAACACAACCAAGTTTATTTTAAATATTCTGGCTCTGATGACAGCTTGCTAAATTGAAAGCCATTAAGATTTTTATTCAATACAACCTTCTTAAAATAGAAAACAATCCAGGGTACAAAAGATATCACCTAATGCATCAGCACAGGACTGAAATGAAGCCTTCATGAATTACCAAGTCTAGACTAAGCACTACCACGAGATATTTCAAAATGTTCTGTAGTGAAAAGCTATACTGGAATACCTGGGCTTCCTGGGGCATCTGGAAGGCATCTATCCTATCAGTCAGGTAAGATGTCAGCTGTCTATCCAGCTCTGCTAAGTTTTCTTGCAAGACCTGCAGCATGTGGTCGGTTTCTCGCATGGTCTGAAGCTGCTGCTCCAAGGCTATCTGCCGGCTCACCGCCTGAGAGGGACAGAAAGGTAAGGCAAGGTGGAGCACTAATTCAATTCAAACTTATTCATTAGATTATATTGAATTTTCTCAAAATAAGCTGGGGAAAAACAAAGAAATCCTATGTCAAGAGGACTGTCTAAAAAGCAAAAGCAACCCTTAGAAGGCAGCAATTTTTAAAGCCTGCTGTGACTTATACAAGTAACAGACAAACAGTGGCACAGAATGAGAATTCTGCTGCTAGATAGGCAGGACAGTGAAAACGGATCTCTCGCCTCAGGAAGAAAGTACTCTGTTAAAAATGTATCAGTTTCTAAAACTAGCTAGTAAATAGGAATCAGGGACTTCGTAATACAGTATAGCGGGGTAATGTTTGATGTGTCAATTTGCATATTTTCTTTCAAAACACTAAATTCTTTCTGTTGCAGCATGAAAAGAGAGGTTCACAGTTCCTTTCCTCCTTGCAACACCTAAACTTCTAAGTTCATCTGAAATGTCACTACTTGCATGGGAACACAAATTCCCCACTATCAACATACGTACAGACCACTGGGTACATATGTACACACACGGAGATGCAGAAAGCTGTCAACAGCCCAGTGTGTTAGTGCTGCAGCTGCCAAAGCAGGCAGTTTTTATCTGGCAATAAAGTACTTTTATAACAGGAAAAACAATTGTGAATGCTAACTTAAATGACAGCACGTAGCCCCTAGCTGAAGGCATTGCATTCATGTTGCTCACTGTAATGAGGATGAACTGAAATTCCCTCTGTGACTACAATTAGGCAGTGACAGAAAAACACTCCCATGCTACAACTTGGCAGGGGCCTGTATTACCCAGGATACAGAACACAAGTTGCAAATACAGCTAGTCTTTCTCTACTTATTAAATCTAGAAAAGGTTAGAATTATGCATGACAAGAGGAAAGGAATAACAATATAGATGGGGAACAAGAATAATATTTTGCTTCTGTTCCTTATCGCAGTGTCAGTTTTTCCTTGTCATTTCCAAGAGTGAAAATGTCACTTATTCATATTAATTTTTACAGTTAGCCAGCAGCTCACCACTATTAATGGCAGTAGGAACAGAATATCAAACTCAGGTATTGAACTGTCCCCCTTGAGACTGGAATTGCCTTTTGTCAAAATTACCTGAAAAAATACCAGTGGGCCACTGCCATGCAAAGATGTGCAAGTGTGCAAAACAGAATCATTACTCAAGTAAGAGGAACTAAAAAAAAAAAAAAGTATTTAGCTCTTAGGGCATTAATCCAAATAGAAAACAGCTGACAACACTGTGAAGATTCTTCCTCCTTTCCAGTATTGCAGTCCTGCATCAATGAATTCTAACAGGAATCATTTCAGACCACTGAGCTGAAAATCCCAGCCTACTTCAACCCTGCCCCCAAATTCTTACCAAGTGACTCAATTCCTCATAGCGGGCATTGAAAGCCTCCAATTTTTCACTGATGATATCATCAAGAATCCCTCCATCAATCAGTGTCTGCCCAAGTTCTCGAATCTGGGTTCGATTATCAGCTGGATGACGCAGGACTGATTCCAGGGACTAATTAGCAGAGAAAGTTTTAAATGTCAAGACACTGAGTATAACTTCATTTTCAGAGGTGGAAATTTGGCTGCATGCACAGAAGTTTTACACTTTAAATGTCGAGAGTGCTCTAAAAGCATGAATTAGTTACATCTTAATCCATGCTGGCACAAGGCAAATTAAGTGGTCATTTTGCTTTATGTAATTAAACTTCACAATGTTTCTCACCTATTCACATCATTTCATGCTATAGTGCTCTAAGGAATTAATCAAGTTACACAGGACAGGAGACACCATACAATTTTATCATGGTACCAAGTACAGCACAATTATGTATAGCAAAATTCAGTTTTTGGGGAAGATTGTTACAAATATGTATTCCAGAATCTGAGTAATATGCTCATTTAAGCTGAAGAATCAGAATATTCAACACATATTTCAGTATTCTACTGAAGTGCTAAATTTATGGCTGTTTAAATGGAGCTATCTAAAAAGTTAACAACCCAATAGAATTACTCCAATACCTCAAGAGCATCATTGACAGCATCCAACTTATCAGGCAAATTTTCAGTCATTTGCACCCTTTCCTCCAGATTGTTTAGCCAAGCTGTTTCTAAATCAAGATACTGAAGCAGCTCAATCCAACAGGACCACACCTCCTAGTAGCAACAGAAAAGGCGTAAATTAGCCTAGAATGCCAGGCATAGCTCATATACCCTATGAACAGCTTAAAAAAATTGTATTTCTCAGATATTCACCTAAAGTAGGCACGTAGAAAACAAGCAAAAACACACCATAGTACAGTAAGTTCTAGTCAGGAAAACCCGCAACTATAGTGGCAAGATGAAAAGAAATATGAAAATTACACATAGAAGTCTCTTAGCTCATGCTAAAAATTAGCACTCACATCCAGATTCTTATAACGATTTAAGAATGTAAGAAAATGCATCCACTCCTATGAAACACAGGACATCCACAACGTACTCCAAACTGTAACCACTCTGTTGTATTTTCTACTGTATTTCAGCCTTTGATTTCTGAGAAGTTTCCTTCTGTCATTTTGGAAGATGCATGGATGGATAACGGAGCTGTGATACAAGGTTACTTATTTGCACAAGCGTTGATTACAATATAGCTTATAAAAGCAAAGTTAGATGGTGTTGCATGGATTCCAACATGTCATTTCAAGGGAAAGGAAACTTGGAAAAAGCCACAACAAAACACATTTATGCTGAAGCTACTGAGCTCAGTGACAAAACTGGATATTTTCAAAGTCCTCCTCCATTCCTCGGGTGCCAACCTCCTTGGTTTTACTAAGCTGCAAGCTATCTTTCTTACCTCCAAAGTGTGACATTTCCCCCGGATCCTATTGCACAGTAGCTGGTAGTTCTCCAGCACAACATTCAGCTCAGTCGCCAGGTCCTGACCGCTAGACGGCACTTTGGTGGCCAACATCTTGATGTTGTCTTTGAGAATCTTCACCCGCACCTCTTTCTGCAACACATCCTCCTTCGCTCTCTGCCCAAAGAAAGGTGTTACATGATCAGCCCTCAATTGCCAGATGGTCAGCTGTTCACCACTCAAAACAAGTAACAGCAGTTTATCCATGGAAGTGAGCCAGACAAAGTATTCTTGGGTCTGAACACAACAAAATATGGCACTTTCATGGAAATCAAATTAGATATGTAAGTGGTGAAAAATCCTATTTTATTAAACATACAGACATACCTCCCATTTAATGTTTTTTTCATTAAAAATCCATGACTCAAAGCAAAAATTATTAAGTTCAGTAACATTTATATGCTAGTATGCAGATTTGAAAACAAGAAGTTAACCAGAAAAAAAAATAAATACAGGTTTGCTAAAAACAAGCATATTGGGGAGAAAACAGTAGGGTGAATTTACAGAAGTTATTTGTCTCAGAGCTCAGTAACTATCTTTCAAAGTTACCCAGGAAAGATGATGTAATTACCCAGGACACATGTAACTACAAAGTTGGGTCCTCTCCCACAGCTGTTGGGTGCACTAGAGGAACATGCAAAGAAGACAACCAAAATTCCTTCAATCCAGAGGACTTCCTTCAATTCAGAGGAGCTTGGTAACAACTATACAGGACAAGCACACTACAACTCCCAGTGCACAGGCCTGGAGAAATACTATTATCAGTTGTCGAATTTTGCCCAAAACAGAATTCAGGAAGCAGGACAGCTGGAATACAGATTACACAGACAAGTCCAAGCCTGTCTTTGTTGAGACAACTAGAAGGCTCCAGAAATAGAGATTGTGCCATTATCTCTTCATTGTCAAATTTCAAGGACAGTTTTATGAAGCTGAAGTACCTCTACTATATAAGGCACTGCACTTTATGATAGAATTTAGTACATGACAACATTGTTGTTGCACATATTGGTTGATATGTTTTCTAAATGTAAGACAATTTAAAAAAAAAAAATCTGAGAAACAGTGTTGTATGATTGTATTATGAAAAATGACCTAGCCTCATCTTAAACCTACTCCTTCAAATGTCAGCAGGAGTTCCACTCCCACTTCAAATGAGGGCAGAATTACAAGAGCTCAAAAGTTTTAAAAACCTATGAAAAGTGGTTCTGGCCAGAGACTATTCTTTTTCAATCCCAAAAGCAGACCCAGCATAACACGCTTATTGTAAATGCAAGAAGACAAGCAAATGTTATGGAATGCTTAACAGCTTGCTGGCATACCTGCCAAATTCAAAAGTACATCATATAATCTGGATTTGACAAAGGTAAATGTGCTCAAAGTCTCTCACATTTGCCAATGAAAAAAAGGTTCTTTCTTTTTGTGGCTTGTGTTCATCAGGCTGTTAGACTATGTGGTCTCAAATGGCTTCAAAGGACAGGAATACATTAAAACACTTGTTAAAGACTGCTTCAGAGAGCCCCTTCAACAAGAACAATTTAAAACTTGAAATAGCTTTGTCAAAGCACTTGCAAGGAATACATAATCTCTCATTTTATGCTTCACCAGGTAACAGTGTAGGGGATACTCATTTAAATAAAGTGTGTATGCACTTTAAAATGGTAATTTATAATGAGACAAAAATGGTTCCTTCGTCTCCTTTTTTTTGGCCACCAATCTCAAAATTAGAGAAGCATGGATCAGAATCACTATTTGCGACAGATGAGAAAAAAGATAACCCTACAACAGAACTGTTTTAAACTGCTTTCCTAAATGTGGAGTTACTGTGTCCAGCGGACAAGAAACTGAACCTCAACAGCTAGAAGCAGAAGAGTAAGTTTTCACAACTGCTAGTTTAGACAGGTATAGTATAATCTTTTCTGTATTTCTCAAGCCTTGTATCCTACAATATGTTCCCATATTCTTAGTGTTCAATACGCTATACAAAGCAAACCTGGCTCAGCAGCTGGGCAAGCTGCTATTCATTACAAAATCCATACCCCTCATGGCCAAATAGAACATCTGCTTTTATACTTTGTGCTTTAAAAATAAAAATTCCAAGTAAAGTTGAAAAATACCACTAATCTTGTCATAACCTGAGTTCCTTTTGACATAGATAATAATTCCACAAGAGGTCAAGCCACTAAGTTTGTTTCTTTTTAATCAGGTCTCTACAATGACCCAGTATTCCTGACCTTCATTTCCTCCACCGCATTCTCTAGCTCTTCAGGGGACTTGTATTCAAAATCTTTCTCCAAATACTCTTCTTCAGCTTGGGTCATCCATTCTTGCATCTCTGCCAAATCCTTCTTCAGATTTACAGCTTTTTCCTGACTTTCAGACAGGCGATTTTTCTGACTAACGATCTAGAATCCAAGGTGGAGAAAGAAGAAGCAGTTTTGTTACTTAAATGTCCTAGTCTATGTGAAAGAACACAGGTCTTTGTTAATACATTTTACTACCAAAACATTTTCAGACCTTTTTAATTCATAAAATACTTTCATATTTTTACACACACACAAGCTTCTGATCCCTTTCTAGTAGATCAACAAAATCTTAGAGGTGATGGAAGGAGGAAAATTACTTTTTTTTTCATTATGTGTAAGCTTGTAACAAAAGCCCTGGAAAAAGTCAAATGGAAAAAACCTTCTTCTGATCACAAGCATCATATAATTAGATATATCTTTACACAGATCACTAAAACACTATTCAGGCTTCACTTCTCCCCATAATCTAGGCAATCTAGATTCTATATCAACAGCAAGGTTCTCCAACTCAAACCCTCATTAAACATTGCAACTAAGGAAAATGTTTTTAGACAGCTGAAAGCTTCCACCCAAAAGAAACATCCAAACACACCAGAGTGAAGTCCTAGCCTATTTATAAACATTTATTTTTCAAAGCTGCTTGGAAGCAGGCAGAAATTATACAGGGTAGAATAATATTCCAGATTTCTGGAACATAAGAACAAAAAGGTTAGACTTTCCTCCCCCACCCATCCCAGAGAGAGCAACATGAAGCAAGGTGAAGAAAGCCATTTTAGGCTGGAAACTGGAAGGAGCACAGTGAACTCTTAGGTACTAAGAAGGGCATGTTATTCAACCAAAACTACTGTTGCACAGGAACCTCCTAACATGCTTGCATATCTGAAGTATGCACTGGGCCAAGATGGATTTCAACCACTTTGACAGTGATACAAGTGAAACATACTTTTCCCACCATTTCACTGCTTCATCTCCATCATCCTGCCAATGCCATGCAACTGCACAAATAGTTGCAGTAACAAGCAAGCACTAGCAACATGGAAAACTCACCTGTTTGCTCAGTTTCTCCCACTGAGTCTGGCAGTCTACTAGCCTTGACTTTGCCCAAGTATTAATGCCAGCAATAGGCTGAGCTCTTAAAGCAGACTCTACCTCTTTCATCTCTTTCAGTGATGGTTCAATCTTCTCCATTTCGTTGACAAACATCTGAGCACACATCAGAGAAAATGAGTGTTCTTTAACAAGCCATTACATAAATTTATAGTATAGAAATAATTATAATTTTAAATTATTCTAGAGAAACTTTAAGAAAATAGCAGACTGCTCAGAACAATCCTTCAGTGGCCCAAAACATCATAACTATAAGCAAATAAAAAACAAAATACAGCTTGTCATAGACATTGCAAACATTCTCACAAGCCACATGTCATCACTGGAACAAGTTTGAGGATGATATGCATTACATATGCAGATGTTCCAGGCATACCTCAGAATCCTGTTCCTGTCCTGGAAACAAACATTTGAAGTTACACTGTAATCACTTACTACAAGATTAAAGTCTACCTATGTGTGATCATTATGTGCCACTAGCTAGAAGAAATCTTATTGTAAGGCACATACAACTCCTAAACCTTAGGATTTTCATCAGAGTGATTTCCTTTTTATTTTTATAGCCCTTAGAACTCTAATACTGAATGCACTTTTCACTCACAGATTCAGCTCCCTAATAACAACATTGGAAGAAATACATAAACATTTTCAGAGGAACTAATGCCAACTTGTAGATGAGCATATTTAAATATGGTGAAGACCTTTGAAAAATACAGTGTCATGGCTACACAAAAGGAACTAATTAAAATGTGGCCTGAAGAAATAGAAGACAATTTTTCTGAAAAGTTTTATGGAACAACTCATAGACAGGATTTTAATAATAGAAGCAATATAATAAAGATGAGATGCTAGACATTACTTCAAAAGATTCCTCAAAAGAGCAAAACTCACTGTGCATTGGTCAAGTTGTCTTTGAAGTCCTTCAGTATCTCCTTGAACAGCTTTTTCTGTCAATAAGAAGTCTTTCACACCATCCATCCATTTCTGAACAACCTTTGAATCAGTCTAAATCAAACATAATAATGAAGAATAGATACAATGCCATGATGAAGAGTATATGGCTGTTGCATTTCAAAAGAATATTCTACAAGCTGCTAGCATTGCCCTGGTTTTGAATCAGACCACTTTTGGTTTGGGGTTGTTTTTTACCTCCCAATGTATCTCAAATTTGTATGAAAAATAAATTTAAAACAGTGTTACTCTTACAGCCATGCCACAGCATGGCTTAATTGACACTGCACTGCTCCAAGCTATCACACAGAAACAAAGGATCAAGTAAGGAGATGAGCACAGCTTCAAGAAGTATGTGGTCACCCTTCACATAAGGTACTTGGTAATAGCATTTTCCTGATGAGAGAAACAATGCATCACCACTACCACCACACTTGATCGAGAGATATATTGCACCCCAAGGAAAAGAAAGGGCCCTGTAGGAATTTATGTGGGGGGAAGAGGAGGGAGTAATGTTAAACATACTTGACAGGTAGAAGCTACTCTAGGAAACTCATTTGCCTTACTGAGAAACACAAGCAGAAAAGCAAAATAGTGGTTAGTCTAATCCTCTGCCCAGCTGTTTTGAGGCCAATAGCAGCTAGTGTACTCATTACAGCATGCACAGGGTGGCAGAACTGTGGGGGGGAATAAATACACACACAACTGCTGAGTCATCTGATTTAACTTTTGGCCTCATATCCTGGAGCGACATGGGTGGGGAGAGAGAGAGGAGGGCTAACATCTCTCTTTCAGTTGTCACCCTTACAATCAAAGCCATCATAAACTTAGAGCAGGGAGAAAGCTTTTCCTCATCCTACTGCAACTGAGTTCTGATCATCGTTTTTAAATAATATTGTTGGCCTTTTAAAAAAAATCTACCTTTTTTTACTTTTTGATTGGGTTTTTTAATCTGACACAATTGGCATCACAGAGCACTGCTATTGAGAAGCCAAGTCAAAACTCAGCTTCACCATCCACTGCAAATCACTGAGGAGGAGGGCACACTCTTCATTACCTTAAAAAACCTTGCCATGACAGTTTTTTCAAGATCAATACATCACACACTGCTTCTTAAAAAAAAGTCTGCACTAATGAAAACCCATTACACCAAGATCATGTTTATTTTTAGGCCAATGGTACCATTAGAGGTCAAAAATATTACATTTTCCATTTTGGGGGGAATTTCCTGAAGCTGATTAGCCTGAAAATCATTTTCCAAAAAGCAAGCCCCAGGAGACTTAACAGCAAATCACTGCTTAATGTAAAAAAATACATATTTATAAAGGCTGCCATTTGACAAGGCATTTTAGCATATACCTAATTTAGCTTGCTTACAGTAAGCTACTTTCAAAAGTTGCTGAAGTGAATTAAAAGTTAGGCACACATTTAAATAACTTGCTGAAACACAAGCCAAGACTACAGAGGTTGAATGAAGTAAATGCTCCTGCATAGGTAAATAATTAACAGTGGTCAAACACCCAGTGTTGACTGTAAATGTGTAAGAGTTCACAATTTTCAAACATAAATTAAAACACCAGATCCATTTCTAAAATTTATTCCAGTAAGAACAAATATCAAATGTGCTGAATTTTAACTTGTTCATTCCTTGAAAAAACACATGATGTACAGCCATGCAGTAAATTTAATAGAAGTAAAGGTGATATATAATGTGATATATACACAGCAAGCCATGCATTATTAGAGGTATGACAACAAGAGAAGACAAATGTTCTCATAGAAAATACTGCATGCAACACTGATAAAATGAGTCTTGTCTACTTTTCCTTTCCCACTAGTATTACAGACAGTCTCACTGTAAAACACAGATCATGTCACTAACACAGCTGTTGTCAGCTTAGGGGAGCCTCTGTCACATCACAAATCACAGAAAGGACACCTGAGCATCAGGACACAGGCAGATCTGCCACTGACTTGGTCAACAGACTACCAAGGACAATTTTAAGCACTGGTCACCTGTCTACTTATTGTTCAAAGTAAGGATACTTATGTCCCATTTATTTTTAAAAAAATTAAATGTGAGGAGTAGAGATCTGGGAAATGCAAGTTTTTAAAGGTGAATTAGGGGAAAAAAAAAAAAAAAAAAAACACTAAAAATAAACCAATACTTGTGTGTGGTTGCACATGGTCACATGTCCTCCAAGGGTTGCCATTCACTTACTCCATAATTTTCAACCCCACTTCAATTTTATTTTTTTCCTTTAATAGCTATATGTTTCTTCTCCTCTCTTAACCAAGGAGATACTGTCCAGCCATTCTCCAAACCACCCTTGTGTCTCTGGTATCACGCATCTAGTATTGACCCATTCAGTGTCTGCACCAGGACCATAAACTTAGTCTCCTGTATCAATATTCCTTGCAGTGCAAATTCCATCCTGATCTCTGCGGTGCCATCCACAACACATTTATTCAACTTGCTCCACATTCTCATTTTTATTCATGCAGTGCTAGACTACAAAAATCTCTGTATATGTGATTACTGCTACTTCAAAAGGAAAAAAAACAGAGAATATAAATGCATGGCTGTCCATCCACTAACAGCTTTATGAAACATTTAGAAAACACAGGAATTCTGCTTCAATTTCTTTTTCAGCTTTGTACCACTTTTCAAGGTAACAGGAAAGTTTTTAACATCTTACTGAGGACAAAAATCTGTTCTCAGATCTATAGAGCAGCACATGGTCTGTTCTTCAAATCTCCAACAGCATTAATATCTACATCTTTCATCAGTGGTTCATAGACGTTAACACAAACATCACTTTGGACAGCTGTGGAGAACAGGGAACTTCACTTTTGGCTGACAAATCTGAGTAACTGATTACCAAATAAAAATCTGCCCAGCTAATCATGCATACATGTACCTCAAATATTCTCAGCTTGGATGTAATTTCCTCCAGTAGCTTAACTTCTTTGGAAATATGAAGCTTTAGCCTCTCCCAATGTCCCTGCACATGCTTGAACTCTTGCATGTAGACCTTTTTTATATCAGAAGAAGCATGTTTCTCCAAAGTCGTCGTTTCTTCAGCAAGTTTATCCATCTTGGGCTTCTGTGCTTCCAGTGTCTCATAAATCACCTACAAGGGGGAAAAAAAAAAAAAAGAAAAAAAAAAAAAAGTCTGCTTCTAGTATTAGCCACATGGCAGGTACACACTTAAATACAAGTGTGAGCACATCAAGTCTTATCAGCCTAGCAGAACACACTGTTGCTAGTTACAAGAAAGCTTACTGAAGGAAAAAAAAAAAAAAAAGAAAAAAAAAAAAAAGTCTGCTTCTAGTATTAGCCACATGGCAGGTACACACTTAAATACAAGTGTGAGCACATCAAACATTTGTTTGTGCACAGATTCAGGAAAAGTGATACTCCACTTACTACAGTTATTGCACCAGAGATGACGAAACAACCCTGTAAGCAACAAAACTTTCAGCTGCTCTACCAGTGCTGCGGCAGAAATTACAGGATAGGATTTACTGTAAAATCTGGCCACATGGCTAAACACACCCAGGCACCTACCCCCCTTCCTGTGTGGTACTGGCACTCAAGTCAGCAAATCAATGGCTACACTGCACTGAAGTCAAAAGAATCAGTAATGTAGACATGCCAGGATCTGCTTTTTCATTTCCTCCACAGATATATGGTTTTTATTTTAAACGAAAACAAACAATAAAGCCCACGCAAACAGGCTGAGTGTGTTCTTCAGAGTCTTGTGAAGTAAAAATCACAAAATCTAGCTGCAGTGGAAGCTTTGGATACTTGAGTTTTGAAAGCTACTCTTCCAGCTAGAATACAGGAAGGTATAATCTGAATCTATTTACTACAGCATTGCTGTTATGAAGAGTCACTTGAGCTGAAATAACAGATTTCCTACTCTTAAGGAAAAAAAAAAACAGCTGAAGGTAAAAAGCAAGACATGAAAAAAATGCTGCCACTTAATTAAACTGGTCACTTTGTTTTTTCTCCTTAAAATTTGTTTAAAAGAGAAATTAGAATCATAGAATCATTTAGGTTGGGAAAGACCTTTAAGATCAAGTCCAACCTTTAACCACACTCTACCATGTTCATCCCTAAACCATATCCTCAGGTACCACATCTATATGACTTTTAAAAACACATCCAGGGCTGGTGACTTAACCACCTCTCTTTGCTGCCTGTTCCAGTGCCTGACAATCTTTACAGACAAATAAATTTTGGGAATGAACACCTTAAACCATTACTAATTTCATTAATTTAACTTCTACTAATCTCATTAATTTAACTTCGCTGCTATATACATTCAACGTGTACATGCGGAATGTGTGCACATATATTTTACTAAGAAAGAATCATCTTTTCAATATATTTTAATATATTTTGTATTTATAGAAAAGAAACAGGATAAAGTGTACCATTTCCTCTAAAAAGATAGATGATGAGGTGGCAATGAGAATGGGAAGAGGAATGTATGTTTCTGCAAACATGAGGTTTCTGTACAGGGGGCCACAAACTCAGTTAATCCCTGTCTTGGGTCTATGCCAGAAGCACTTCAGTGACTGCTACAGTGCAGAAGAAGGAGCTGGACAATCCCAACTCCACAAGTAGCCCATCATCTGCAGCTCGTTCCCATCTCCCATCACAATTCTTTAAAGCTCCCACATTGACATGGTATGTCCTTTCAGATCCTCAAGAAAAGAGGTAGCAGAAACCTGGCCATATGTAGGAAAAGACAGGCCTCCAAAGACTAAATACCATTGTGATTCAGCCAACTTTGAACAATACAGAAGCAACAATAAACGAGAAAAGCAAAGAACTTGGAACATTTTTTCATTTGCTAGCTTGAAAACAGAGCACTAACACCCCTATTTACTGTGTGTTTAAAAAATATCTATTTTATGACTCTGCTATACAGAGAATGACATCAAGACAGACAAGGCCTCACGCCACCCAGCAATGAGAGTTCAATAACTCGAGTCATCTGCAGCCCTACCTGCCACCACACAGGGAAAAATGCATGTTTCTGAATAAAGCATGATTCCACAAAAGCAGTGGAGAGACCAGTAAAGTATTTATCTACGTTTTATTAAAGAAAAGAAAAAACAAAACAAAACACAAAACACTGGAGATGCATGTTTCTCTTCCCTCACTCCAGCCCTGCTCCAGTAACTGATTATTTACAAAGCAACTGTCATCCCCCCTTTCATAGGTCCGGAATAGGAAACAAAATACCATTTTCTATCAGACAGGCTTTGTATATCCATTACCTTTATGGCTTTCAAGAACTGTTTCTTTCTGAAAGGCAACCTGGAGGCCAGACTACCGTTACTCTCTCCTAACAGCCAGGCAGGATGAAACGGGATGGATTTATTAACCAGCTGAACCTCGGAGACAGTTTAAGCAGCAGGCACTCTGCGTCTGGAGAGGCTACACCCAGAGTCAGGAGGAGAGGATTACACGCCTGCCCACCACGGCCTCTCCGGGAGGGGCCGAGGCATGGTCAGGGAGCGTGCATTGCCACACGGAAGGGACATGGTCTCCCCAGGAGACCACGCCTGAGCAGGCCAGACATGGGCACAGCTGCCAGGCAGCTGCAGTGCAGCTCAGGCAGGGAGTGCTGAAAGGCAGCTCCCATGAGAGGGAAGGGCAGGCCCTGGCTTCTGGCTTTCCTCACAGCCACGCTCAGTGCCAAGGAGCAGACCTTGGACTGGGTCACTAACCTGATCCAACCAAACTCATAGGAAAGGGATGCTACCATGGCCCCGACATCTATTTTGGGGGCTCCTCAGCACAAGAGAGACATGGCCACACTGGAGAGAGCCTGAGGAGGCTGCAGCACTTCAGAGAAGATCCCTCAGAACCTCCTCTTCCCCTAGCTGTGCAGTCTCAGCTCTCTCAGCCTCACCTCCTGGCACAGGCAGCAAGAGAAGCTGTGAAGCCTGCAGGCTTGGAGGTAACCAGTCCTCGCCTGGACACATCCCTCAGCAGCCTCCAGTGACCCAGCTTTAAGCAAGCAACCCCCTGGGGGTGCATCCACACACCACTCCCTGATCAGCTTCCGTCTGAGGAACGTTTTATTCACCCTGCTGAAAATAAGGCAGGAGAAAGGAGGATGACAGTAGCTGAATAAGCAACTTCCTCACTTCAATGCAAAGGCTGAGAGATACCTTTGCCTGCTGCAGTGCCTTCTCAACCTTGCTGGGGTCGCTCAGCCCACTGGCCCTGGGCTGCTGCTCGCACTCCAGTTGGCTCAGCGTGTCCTTCAGCTGCTGCAGTGCATCCACATAGTCCTGGCTCGGCTGACTTTCTGTCTCTGGAATGGTTAAAAAGAGTAAAGGAGCAAAACATAAAGTAAAGAAATAGAGATGAGACCCAAATTATGAGAAATGTGAATGTAATAAATGTTACCAGAATTATTTAAAAAAAATTAATCATGTGATAGATCCTTGAACGTTGAATCCTGCTGAGACCTTCAAAGAGCTAAAAAAATCTTCTGATGATGGCAAGGTTTTTTCTTTTTAAAAATTAACATACATATATATCTACTATATATATATATAGTACAATGGTAACTCATCCAAAAAAAAAAATAAATTTAAAACTAGATCCCATTTTTTGAATTTGCTTATGCACCTAAATCTCTTGAGGTGGGTGGGGTAGCATGCCTAAAACCCCACGATTTACATGTTTTCATTTTTAAAAGTTTTAGACATATCTACTGTTTATACACACATATCTACTACACATAGAATGTAAAATATAGCATATACAATAGTCATATGTTACACATAAAGTTAAATATACACTATATACAGTAACCATATAAGCTAATATTTATATATATATATATATGTAAACACACATAATATGTATCAGTGCAGTATTAGGGTTTGGTTTTGTGGAGGTTTTTTTCATACATATATATATACACACACAAACACTCAAAAATACATAAAACCAGCAGCTTTCAGCCTATTGCCAGAACAGAGATGCTATCTGGGAAGACTGAAAAGAGAATTAAAGTTTGGATGGAGTATCTGCTTGCACTCTTTCTCAAATTTTGCACAAGCCCCCTATGGAATCCCAGGCAGGAAGCAGCACCTCACTCTGGCATTTCAGAATGAAAACATCAGATTTTGAAAACTACAGTGAACAGGATTTCAGCTGTAAGACCTGTATTGTGGAATGCACATTCTCTGGCCCTGGATTCCTAAGCAATTTTATTACTGACACAAGTGAAAATTAATCTAAGCCTCGTTGTGACTCACGAGGTAGCTTTTCAACAGCTTACTATTAGAACTGTCACAACATTTATAACTAAAGAATGAGTCAATATTTTTAGAGAGAATGCGAGTTATCGAGCTTCCTCTTCTCAAAACCAGAATCATATTAAATGAAAGAAAAAAAAATAAAAATAATTCAGTAAGAGACAAACAGGTGCACTATCACGAAACTACAGCGAATCCAGAAGGAGAAGAAAATAGTTAAAATAGCTTCCCTGTTGACAAAAAATTAAGTCACAATTCCCATTTAAAATGTCCATAGAAATGGGGCTGAGTAGCACTCCATGAGGGAATTTTTTCAGAGGATCAAAGAAGAGCCATGAAAGGAGCAAGACTTCTGTCAAAGCCTGCCAAGTTCACAAATGCTCAAATACTGCCACCAGTTGTTTCTCCCAGTTATATGGCTCTGAAAGTTCTTTTACCTTACAGTAATTCAAACTATGTTGAAAACAACTGAAACCCTGAACTGACATTTTCCTTTATTCTAGCAATAAAAATCTGCAGAGATTCAAAATCATCATTCAAAAAATACACAAATACAATCTTAACATATTATGATATGCAAGGTGTGATACTAATAACTGGATCAAATACACTAATAGCACCTCACGTGATGTGTGGCATGACAAATAAGGATTACTTTTGTCACATCATGTAATAATTACCAAAATACACAATACTGATAAACTTATCCAAAAGTACCTGAACTCAGAACAGTCAGAAAATAATCATTCCTCACAATGAGAATGAAAGCATACCCTGTAATATGAGTGTGGCAGACAGATGTGTTATTCATACAGTTTTCTGCATCAATAGAACAGAAGTATGCAGCAGGCCTTGTGCAACACACTATATAGATGGCCAACTTAGTAATTCAGTATTTTTATTACATACAGAATAAAACATTAATGCTCTTCTACTTGGGGCTGTTAGCAAATGCTTCCATGAATCCCTCAGAAACAAAATAAGAACTAAAGAAAAATCTCCTTGTTGGTCTATTCTCTTGGTATTCAGCTGTAAAACATTATCAGAGCTACATATTTTGTGCAATACATTTAAAATCCTTTAGAAGTCAGCATGACTGGTTTGTATGCTCATAATGAAATTTTTAATGCAACAAAAATCCAAGTACAAAGTGCCTGAAAAGCACGCCAGATTCCAAATCACTTCAAAGATGAAATTTCCGAAAGGAATTATGTATGACTAACGGACTTAACAAAAGTATGAAAAAGAATAAATCTCACATGCGCACTTCAATTTTACAAGGTTCTCTTAATCTTCCATTTTTCATTTCTAGCACTATTATTTATTTCTGGAAGTGCTAAAGACCCACAGCTTTTCAAACAATATTATCCACCTTAAATGTGTTTTGCTAGTTCCTGAAACATAATTACAGGAATGTTGCATCCCCGTATAATCACTTAACACTGTGGAATTATATATTTTCTAGTGTGCACAACAGCGGTCATACAAATATTCTTTCTGGTGAATAAAAAGAATTTGTCAGCCTTTCCCAAAGCCTCCCATAATCAGCAGGA